TATCTTTGAAATGTTATCTACTGTTTGATCCTTGCCGCCCTGTATTCCTGTGTATTCCAACCCAGTAAAATGCTATGGAGCAGGGGGCTCGGAACCTTTTTCTCCTCAGAGTAACTGGCCGCTGCTGGCCTTTGTCTCCCCTCAGAAACTGACCACAGCCCACTCCTCCTACCCCAAGCAGAACCCATCATATCTTGGTCATATTCATCCTTGTCCATGGCAATCGGGGGGACTCACGAGGAAGTCGCTCCCACATCTGGTGCTCAGAACAGGGACTGGAGCGGACCTCCTTCAAGCCAGAGGCCTTGAGCCATACCACCGACATGACCTTTAAGATGGTAACAGATACAAGACTCTCATCCCTGGTGGTCAGGGGGACTAGTGAGGAAGTCACTCTCACACACATCAGCCCTGTAAATTATGTACTATATCTTCTGTTTTGAGGTGAGAAAAAGCAGAGTTTTTTAATCAAGTTCTAGCAACAGGTAAAATTGGAGCTCAAACATATTTTACATACTAGTTCTTTCATCCTAATGTAGGCTGAAGAATCTTAGTTTCACCACTTACTACCTGTGTGGTCTTAGGAAGTCATTTATCCTTTCTGACCTTCAGTTTCCACATATGAAAATGAAGAATTAACAATGGATGCCACTAGGGCAGATGAAAAGGTATCTTCCTGGGGACCAGGGTCCAGGGCTGCTTCCCTGGCTGTCTTCAATTCCTTTCCTGTTTCTCCCTGGATCCTTCAACTTCATTTCCTCCTTAATTTTTTCACATCTTCTTATTGCTATTATTGGTAAAAGCACTCAGCTGACCTAAATTTTATGAAAAGACATTTACTGAGTCTCCATTAAGGACAGGAACTGTCCTGGGTGTCAAACACAATGAGTGGCCAAATTCAATTTTTAGAGACCAAACTGTATTCTTTTTTAGCTAAAATTTGCTGAGAGTTTACTATGGCTCAGCTGTTTTAAATGTTTTGCATGTATAACTCACTTCATCCTTATAATAACACTATGGAGGGGTGACTGTTATGGGTGTCACTCACACAGTTGAGGAAACTTAACCACATACAGGCTGGGTTACTTACTAAATATGACATAACTTATAAATGACAGAGTTGATCTTAAATCCAGCCAAACTGGCTTCAAAGCTCATACTCCTAACTTTAAAGTTCTGAGGTTCTTGTGTTTGCAGGTTAACATGAAAACATCACACTGAAAGGGGCCGCAAAAATCATATAAAACAGGCACTCAACTGTCCATGCACACAATATGCAGTGTGGAGATACAAAGATGTATAAGAACAATGTTCCATCCCTAGAAAAACAAGATTGTAAGGCTAGCAAAGAGCTGAAGTATGTGATGACTTATAAAGCAGGGAAGGTGAGGTAAGTGCTAAAGTGTTGATAGAAAGTTCTACAAATTCACAGAGAGATCAGTTCTGGTGTAGTCACAGAAACCCTTTCTAGTTGTTTCTCATTAACACCTATGCCTTTAAAGAAGGGTCAGGTTTTAATATCTGGAGAAGACATAAAGATAAGAATGTTCCTGGCACAGGAAAAGATAGGAGCTTTGAGATGAAGGTGAGACAGCATGAGGTATTTCTCCCACAGTCAGTAGGGTCCCCTCTTGCTAGAAATGCCAGCATACATGGGGACCAGTGGGATACCAGGCTTTAAAACATATGAGTGGGATGGGATACCAGGTCCAAACCACAGCCTAGAATTGTGAGTGCAGATACCCTATTTTGTGGCCACAGAGTAGAAGCAGAGTGAGTGAGTATCTTCAGCATGGCAAGGGGAGGCCGTGGGAGCATCTTGGGCTCCCTCAGCAGCATTTGAGGCTTGTGAAGGTCCAGGTGCTGTCAGCAGAAGTGAAGAGCTAGAAAGAATAGAAGCCATGAAAAGAACTGTCTTACAGAGGCTGTGATAAGGGCAAAGACAAGACAGAGAAACTGATGAAGTCTGAAGGTGATTATTTCAAATGGGGTGGCTCAAATATTGATCCAGAAAAAATGATTTCAGTGTACTTTCTGGGCAACCCACTCCCAGTCTGCTTTGATGTTGATATCATTACAAGGGGAATACATTAATTTGACAACGGGTGGATGTAAAGAGACAAGTGAAGACCATAGGCAAGACCCTGAGGACTGACCACCTTCATTGGGCAGAAGGGCGAGAGAGGCCACCATAGGCAGGAGGAGAAAAGGAGGGGTAGAAGGACAGATGTTTCAGAACACATGGGAGGAAGAAACTTTGGAATAGTGAGGACTCAAGAGTACAAAGAGCACAGAGGTGTATAAAAAGATGAAAACTAAAAAGTTATTGGTTTCAGTATTTAGGAAACAGTTTTATTTAAGGGACTGTTCCAATAAGACAAGCTTGGGCTGATGAACTCTGGTGAGGGTGGTGGGCTCAAGGGCAGGCCAAGGAGAGGGAGCTAGTGTGCCATCCACATGGAGAGGGAGGGAGTGGCTCATCTTGTGCAAGAAGTGCAGACAAGATGTGGGTAGTTTAAAGCATGCAAAAAAAAAAGCTTCAAAGTGATGTTTGGAGAAGGGCAGGGATTGACAAGAATTGTCCCAAAAGGCAGGGATAATGTGCACTGAGGGCTAGAGGTAAAGTTTGAGGGGTGGGGAAGGCCAAATGGGTGTGTCTACCTATCCTTTTGCAGGGTAATCCACCCATGGTCAATGCTCCACTCGATTTAGTTGTTGCCATGGTTTCTTTCCATATGGAGACATCCAACACTTCTTCATGTTGGGTTAGCCCAAGTACCACAGGCATCATTGAGTTACATGTGGACTCAGCTACTAGGACTGTTCTCAGACTTCTAATCTTCTTTTATTCTTTTTCTTTCAACAATCAGTAATGGGTATAAGGAGACCAGAATAGGATGTGCCACCAAAGACAGTTGTGGTGAAACTAGAACCCATTCAAGAAGTGAACCAAAAGGCATGAAGAAAGACCAGATGCTTCAATGTCTCACAACTTCTTTTGGGGCTGGTAGTCTCAGGACAGCCCCATCCTTTGTTTAATGTTTTTCTGTCTCAGCCTTGAAATTCTTAGTTAATTTGGAACCAGAGTGTCCTGTTCCCTTTCTTGTGTCATGCACCCAAACAATGTCCCTCATTTCTGACATCTTTCAGCAATGTCCCAGTGGGTTCCTGATCACAACTGCAGGTCTCAGAGCTGGTTGCACCTGATGCAGCCTCCAATGAGAAGGCTATGCATAGGAGTCACGAGCCCTAACTAAGCCCAGACAGCCAGTCAAGGTCAGGCCAGCACCTGCCCTCCTTCCACTGGTAACAGCCTGACTCTCCAGTCTGCTGGTCTTCCCTTCCTCTTTCCAGAGGAGCAGTTCTGGGATGCTTCAGACCTGTTCTTCCAGTTTCTGTGAGGGAGCTGGGGCAGTTTTCCCAGGATCTTGCAGAGTTCAGAGGAATGTTTTGAAGGTCTGTGGGTCCCAGCATTCAGCTCCAAGCATCAGGGAGTGCAGGAATGGACCAACTACCTACCTCTTTTCACTTTTACAGTGTCTATAACCCATCCCTCACCATAGGTTGGCACAGTCCAGCCAACAAGTGCTTGATCTTCTCTCATGAGGATGCCAGCACTTTCTCACTCAAAAGTCTGGGCTCTTAGGACCAAGGAGGCAAGACCTTGGGTAGGCCAGGAATAGGTGTGGTTTTCTGGAGTCCTGTTGAATGTCCCAGGGGTAGGCCTAGGGGGGTCCCAGCACTCTTAAGTCTTTTCAGCCCAAGTTTGGAGATCTTCAACTTCAGCTTTGTTCAGAGTTCAAGAGCGCCACCTCCTGGTGCTTTGTGGTGAATGACCATAGCAAAGAGAGATGGCAAAGGGCGTTATAAAAAATTATAGTACATTTACCACTGTCTGCTACTCAGCTGTGTTTTGAACCCATCCCTCTGCATTCTTGTTAAGTGAATAGAAAGGGTCACGAAAATGACAGATTCCCATCTTCTCCTCCCAGGTCTCCCCACCCTACCAGTGCACAAGGGTCGCTCTTTTTCAATGCCCTTTGCCACACAAGTAACATTTATATGCGCCTCTGTTTCGGTCTGATCATTCAGCCAAAAGGAAAAAAAATCCTTAGCAGACCCCAGCGGGATCCCTTTGGAGTCCACAGTTCCTGCCAGCTAGGGCTCCCGTGCTTCCATTTGATTGTTCTAGGTGGACTATCCTTCTGTGACCCTGGGCAAAACAAACCAGACTGGCTGATATGCTCCCTAAAACGTCCACCCTTACAGGGCTCTGCAGGAATTTGTCTGCTACTGCTTCTGCAGGGTGACCTCGAGGCTGATAGTATCCCCAAGACTTTCCTAAGCAACTAGACGATGTCTGGCCTTGGCTTCTTGGGCTTAGGCACTCGTGTGTCCCTAGTTGTGAGCAGGGGTAGCCTGCATTAGGGTGTTAGTCTAATTCTCTCTCCTTTGCCCATTGTCTCCCCAGCCATACCCCTGTCTTCTGGGACCTAGCACATTCCTGTTTTCAGAACTAAGGCAGAGTCCAGCTCTCTCTCCTTGCAATCGCATCTTCAGGGAAGTTCACCTGCTAGACAATCCCTCCCAAAGTCCTCCTTTTGGCGGAAACCTTCTCCCAGGTCCTGGGCACTACTTTCCCCAGGACTTCATTCAAAGCTCTCCTTTACCCGCATCTTCTTCCCAGAATTCTGTAATGCAAGCTGTCTTTGAAAATGACGATAACAGCATACTTATTAAGAAAAGAAAGAAGACCAAGAGATTAAGATGGGTTGCGAGCCTGGGAGCCCCAATGTAGGGGGTGGAAATGTCCCCTTGCTGACAAAAGTGGTGTCTGCCCTCGGCAGCCCCGGCTGGGCACCGCCCAGTGCCCAGGCTGGATTTACTCACTCCCGGGAGGGGATCCTGAACTTGAGGGCGGGCACAAGGATTTCAAAAGACCCAGTAATCCGAGAACACAGCATCAGCCCTTCCCATCATGCACTTCCTTCCTTTCCCCGAATGTTCAGGGAGGGAGGGCTGTGCTCTTATAAACTCTGGCCCCTACCCAGCAGCATATCAAAGGCAGCTTTGCCAGGACTGTGCTCAGCGGCTCTAAGCTTCTGCTTTGGGACAGACACAAAGGCTTGTAGCCGCCAGCGTCTTGAGCCTCTCATAACCCGTGGGATTCGGACCTGGTCCTGGCTACTGCGCTCTGCCCCGCACTTCCTGCGGAGTGCCGGGACAGCATGATGCAGGTCCTGCTCTTCAGCGTGTTGGGTCCCGCTGCCCTGGGACTCCCAGCGCTCCCAGAACCACAGCCGTACGGCAGCCAGTGCGTCCAACAAGACTGCTACACGCTCTTCCGGGGCCCTGCAACCTTCTTCGAAGCCAACCAGGCCTGCGAGCATCTGCGGGGCCATCTAATGACCGTGCGCTCCTCAGTGGCAGCTGATGTCATCTCCCTGCTACTGAGCGGCAACAGTGGCGACACCTCTCGCCTCTGGATTGGCCTGAAGCTTCCGTCCGGCTGCAGTGACCTGGGGGAACTAGGTCCCTTGCATGGCTTCCAGTGGGTTACAGGCGACAACCAGACCAGCTACAGCAGGTGGGCGAGGCTTCCTCCTGCGCCTCTCTGTGGTCCCTTGTGCGTCTGGGTCTCCGTGGCCGGGTCTCCGGAGCCCGGCGAGCAGGTCTGGGAGGAGGAACAATGCGTAGTAGAGGCCGATGGCTTCCTTTGCGAGTTCCACTTCTCAGCATCCTGCAGGCCTCTAACTGTGGAGCATGGTGCCACAGCGGCCGCCAGCGTCTCTATCACCTACACCACCCCGTTCGGTGCCCGAGGCGTAGACTTTCAGGCGCTGCCAGTTGGTAGCTCCGCTGCGGTATCACCCTTCGGAGTGGAGCTGGTGTGTGAGCAGAGGCCAGGAGAGGTTGAGGCCCGCTGGGGCCGAGAGGTGCAGGGTCCCTGGCACTGCAGCGTGGAGAATGGCGGCTGCCAGCATCTGTGCAACTGGAGCGCCGGGGTGTCGCACTGCCTCTGCCCAGCGGACATGGCCACTCAGGAAGACCAGCGCTCTTGTGCAGCGCCTGGGGAACACTCCTGCAACAAGCTCTGTGAACACTTCTGCGTCCAAAACCTGGAAATACCCCGCGCCTACTCTTGCATGTGCGAAACTGGCTACAAGCTGGCTGCAGATCAGCACCGGTGTGAGGACGTAGATGACTGTACGCAAACGCCCAGTCCATGCCAGCAGGTCTGTGTCAACAAGCAGGGCGGCTTCGAGTGCCATTGTCGTGATGGCTATGACATGGTGGACGGTGAGTGTGTGGAGTCAGTGGACCCGTGCATCGGGACTAACTGCGAATACCAGTGCCAGCCCTTGGGCAAAACTGATTACCGCTGTGTCTGTGCAGAAGGTTTCGCACCCAACCCCCAAGCACCACACAGGTGCCAGATGTTCTGCAACCAGTCTTCATGCTTAGCCGACTGCGATCCCAACAAGCCGGAAAGCTGCCAGTGCCCAGAGGGCTACATTTTGGACGAAGGGTTCACATGCACGGACATCGATGAGTGTGACAATGGCAACTGTTTAGGTGCAGTTTCATGCAGAAACCTCCCTGGCTCCTACGAGTGCATCTGCGGGCCTGACTCTGCCCAGACTGGCACCGACTGTGACCTCACCAAGGTGAGCAGCGGTGGTGACGAGGATGGCTCTGGGGAGCTCCCCATCAGCACAACTCCTGGCACCACCTCAAGTCCGTGGCCTACAGGGTCTGGACATTCAGGTGTGCTCATTGGCATCTCCACCTTGAGCTTGTTTTTGGTGGTGGCGCTTTTGGCACTCCTCTGCCACCTGCGTAAGAAACAAGGCACCATGCAGGCCGAGCTGGAGTACAAGTGTGGGGTTCCTGACAAGGAGGTGGTGTTGCAGCACGTGAGCACAGAGAAGGCGCCCCCAAAACTCTGAGAGGGCCACACTTCCTGCCCCCAAGGTGTTGGCTTGGCCTTTTTTCCCCTCCTGCCCCTCATTCCCCTGCCTCATCCCCCAGCCTTACTCCTTGGCTACCCCAAAGCATCTTAACTGGCATCAAAACTAGAGGAGACTGACTCCCTACCCCTTCTTTTGATTATTCTAGGAATAGCTTGTTAGGGAGTTACTTTTAATATATCACCAGACTTGTGGGCAGAGATGGTAATTTTACAATGAAGATGCAGATTGCATAATGTCCCATACCCTCAGTGGGGCAAGAAGCGTGAGCACTATTGGTCAGTGGCTTTTGGGCAGACTGTGACACAATGGAATAGTAAGTGTAATTGTGTGATGGATGATGACTAAGATATTTATTTATTTAAGACTTTTTTCTTTTTCTTTTTTTTTCTATCTTCATGCCCACTTTGAGTCCCTTCCTCTGTTTTCTCTCTCATCTTTCCTATCTCTATATTTATATACTTCCACTTGTCATGTGGTAACTATTTTGGTGAATTTTTTCAGTCTTTTGTATTTATAAAGTCAAACCTCATTTTCTCCTCTCATTCCTACCAGTTTTCCCTTCCCAGGAACTGGACCCGCCCATCTCAGTCACTCTATCTGTGTCTGACACTACTACTCCTACCTGTCCGCCTAGGCAGAACTCATGTGTGACATAGAGGGAAAAACAACAACACTAAAAACAAGAATGTTGGGCATTTGTTCTTTCACTTGGTTTGCTAATTTATCCTGAAGTTTCATGCTTCCACTGTGATATCACTTAGCAAAGGTTAAAATGTGAGAGACATTTGTTAAATTAATTTTGCTGAACCATCATAGAAATTAAACCCAAGGAGTTTTTATTTTTATTTTTTAAGCAATGAGCCTGGGTTTTATTACTGTTGTTTTGATTTGGACTGAAAGGTAGTAATTGTTGTTAAGATTCATATGCAGTTTTCTTTATTATTACTAATATTTGTATTTTTAGTTACTTTTTAGCAGTGTTGAAATGCTTACCTAATTGCTCTAGATTGAAAAAACAGAAAGCACCTCCTAGGAGATAGTTTAAAAAAATTTTAAGCTGCTTGATTTATGCCAATTATCATTTTGACTCTCCCTGTTTTTGTAGTATGTAAGCCAAAGTAAACCCAGCTTTACTGTTTTGGGGCATTTAGGTATTTGGGAATTGAGCCTGGAAGATACCCAATTTAGGGCCTCACCTTGACCAGGCCTTTGAGAATTTCTCACACTTTAGAGGGGTCTTCTAACCCTATTCACTCTAACTCTATTCACCAAATTCACTTGGAATTTGCTCCTCAACAAGAAATGAGGACTATCTCCTTCCTCCCCCAGAAACTGATTAGAAATGCAGAACCTTGAGCTCCATCCCACCTACTCTATGAAAATCTGTATTTTAACAAGATCTACTGGGGAGTTATCTGCCCAGAATAGTCTGAGAACTGTTCTAGACAGCTTCCAACTTCTGGAATATACTAAATATGTATCAGTAATAAGTAGCAGGCCAAATTAGTCCTTTGATTATCAAGAAACTGAGGAATTTTTATTTCATAGCTTTGTTTCCCAGTAGAAAAAAAACTTGGTTCATCCCTTTAGACATTGCTAAACAGTGTTTTTGGTTCAACTAAACCAGGAATGAAATCATGAATGAAAAAAAGTGTATTTTTTGTGACACAAAGATTTTCCTCTGCTATTTTATAAACTCAGCACATTTGTATATAGTTATTTATTTATTAAAGATAAACTAGAATGCAGGCAAAACCCTTGCTTATGACATCACATGTTAAAAAAATAAATAAATAACAGTTTGCTCTTGGGTTGTGTGTCTGTCCATTTCCACTATCCCAACCCCCCAGTTTACGTAATCAAAACAAGGTTATTAAATAGTGCAAATACCATGGATTGCATTTAAATGCTGCTCCACACCCATTACTAGCCTCCATCTGCTCATGGCATCATCTCTGACTTCCAAAGATTTTTTCAGAGATAATTGTTTTCACTGTAGAAAGACATCATGTTATATCTGTGCACAGAAATATTTATTTTCTATCTGTAACGATAATGACTTCATACACAGGACTGTGTCTATGCATTTTAAAATACATTATTTGTTGTTAAGTGAAATAAGCCAGTCAGAGAAAGACAAATACCATATGATTTAGCTTTTGTACAGAATCTAAAGAACAAACTGAACTAACCAGCAAAACAGAGACAGACTCATAGATGGAGAGCAGATGACAGCTAGTTGGGAGAAGGTTAGGGAATGGAGGGATTGAGCAAAAAGGACAAAGGATTCATGGACGTGGACAACAGTGTGACAATTGCTGGAAGGAAGGGTTTATAAGGGGTCTAAGTGGTAATGGAAAAATATAAAATAAAGATTAAATAAAGTAAAACATTATTTTAGTGGATTAATAAAGAAAAAGTCCTTCTTGGGGCATCTCTCAATCTCATCTGTGTGTCCTTCTGAACATAGTCTGATATTATTTGCTCACTGAAATATGCAAATACAGCAGTCATGAAAGAGTCTCAGTCTGTGGCTCAAATTAAAAAAAAATTGTTTCTACATAACAAGGTCTCATGCAGTATTAAAAGATTCTCATTTCTATTGATTATAGACTTTGTCTTTTTAATATACAAATATATTTGACCCCCTTTTCTGGTTTTGTGGAACTGGCTGAATTTTGTATTCAGTGCACTGAAAGTTTTCATAAAGCACAAGATAAGGAAAATTGAATTCATCCAATATTCAGATACCTTTTTAAAACGGTTTTATTTATTTATCTTTAGAGGGGAAGGAGAGAGGGAGAGAAATATTAATGTATGGTTGCCTCTTGTGCATCCCCTGCTGGGAACTGACCTGCAACCCAGGCATGTGCCCTGACTGGGAATTGAACCACAATTGCATGGTTTGCAGGCCCACACTCAATCCATTGAACTACACCAGCCAGGGCAAATATTCAGATATTTTTATACATCTGGGTAATGCTAAATTACTATTGTGAAGGTGCTGTTGGAGATTTCAATATCCATCTTGTATGAAATTGACAGTTTTGGCATGTGTGGGATGAGAGATGGGTGCTACTATGAGCAGTGCCCTACCCAGATAAGTAGTAGAGCAATGTTGCCTTTAGGAGTTTGGTAGATTGCAGAACATCAAATTCAGTAGAAGGTATATATGGAAGAAGAAGTTACTGACTGGGGCAAAGCAAGTACAAAAAAATTTTGCTGGGTGTCCAGAAAAGAGAGGGGTATCTTACTAATTTGTCCTTACTACACAGCCTTCCATTTTTCAAAAGTGTCTGTTCCCAACTTGCTGTCAAATTGCCCATTCCTTTAGATTCTCTTCCTCCAGAGAAGGGACATTTTCTGAGGAACACAAGCATAATTAAACACACGTTTAGGACCCCAAAGCAAGAGATTTTACTGGGGCGTGTTGGACTTCAGAACACTGGTGGAATAGAGGCCCAGACCCTTCCTATCCTCCTTGCTTCCTGTTACCTAGGAGATCTGCATGCCTACTTACAGGCCTTATTTACACAGAAGATTCTCAAAACAACTAAGAACCCCCTCTCTGAAAAAGACACTAAGACCACATAAACAAGAAGTTAGCTAAAAAAGTAGACCCAAGCATCTAAAAGGGGGTAGATCTTAGGGAACAGGGGCCACAAGTCAATCTGTATAATCTCTGCTTTCTGTTCACATTGTTGAACATCCAGGACTGAAGGGGATTCCCAACCCCGAGCAAGTGCTACCTGTTTGTCAATGATATTCCACAGTGGGCAGGGCCTGGGGAAGAAGGTCAAGATGGTATTTCTTCATAAGTCAGAATTTGATTTTATGAGTCTAATGGCATTTTAGTCTTCCCTTTGGACCTAATCTCTGTTCTTGGAGAAAGGTAACATCATCACTTAGCTTTGGAAAGCACTATGATGTTCCACAAGAGGAATTTTAAATCTCTCAGGAGTACAGGTGTAGCTTTCCCTTGCTGTATCAACAGCAGCAGCAAGATTCAAGTCCTCATCAGGCAACACCCACTTTATCTATGTGTGGTGGATTCAAGGCTTCATTCCTTTGAGCTTTAAGAAAGTGTGTTGCCAGCAGGACATCACGGACTAGTTCACTGCTTGGTAAACTGCTGTTGAGGACCTGGAGTCTTCCAAGTCTTTAATAAGACTATGTCTTCCCACTGCAATGGGTGTAAGGGCTCATCAGACAGCTAAGTAGAAGATCAGCAATAAGCAAACTTGTGGAGAGCTTTTAGTGTTTGCCCTAAATGTTGTACATATTGTTTGATTTTGGATTCGTGTTTTAAATCTAAAGGGGGTGTTCCTAAAACAGAGACTTTGAAGGGTCTTTTATAAACTATTTCAAAAGGCCTTAATTTAAGCCTGCCTTGGGGCACTACAATAATCCACAGCGAGACAATACAGAGTGCTTGGTCCCATTTCAAATGTGTTTTCTGGCATTTTTTGCCATGGTCTTCTCTTATCATGTAGTTCATTTTGTCAATCTTCTCCATAGACTAGAGTCTCCAAGATGCATGTAGTTTCCATTGAATCTGCAGTACCCGTCCTATCTTCTGGGAGGTTTCCAAAGTGAACAACTGTCCAATGTCACTTTGAAAGCTTTAAGAAAAGTCCAAACTTAAAATTATTTATTTATTTAGTTTTACTGATTTCAGGTCTAATTTTTATTCTGGAATGTAAAGCTCTTTTAAATTAAAGTACAATTGACCTACAATATTAGTTTCAGGTGTGTAACTAGGTACATTTCACACTTATTTTCCTTAGAAAGTGAAAGGAAAAGTTCACTTTTCCATATGAAAAGTTCAGTATCCACATGTTACATTACAAAGTTATTGTGATATTAATGATACTCCCTATGTTGTTCTTTACATTCCTGTGATTTATTTATATTACATCTATAAGTTTGTACTTCTTAACCCCCTTAACCTTTTGTGCATACCCTCTGGCAATTATCAGTTTTTCTGTGTCTATTGCTTATTTATTTTGTTTGTTCAGTACTTTAGTTTTTTAGATTTCATACAACAGTGAAACGATACAGCATTTGTCTTTCTCTGTCTTATTTCACTTAGCATAGTACCCTAAAGGTATACACATATTGTTGTAAATGGCAAGATTTCATTCTTTTATATGGCTAATATTCCAGTGAATGTGTATGTGCATGCACATACAACATATATCCACTTCTTTATTTATTCATCTATTGATGGACACCCTGGTTGGTTCAGTAACTTGGTTATTGTGAATAATGTTGCAGTAAACATAGAAGTGCACATATCTTTTTCAAGTAATGTTTTATTTTCTTCAGATAAGCTCCGAGATGTGGAAATGATGGATATTTGTCTCTTGTTATATAGCCTTTGTTTTAAAGTCTATTTTGTCTGATATAAGTATTGCTATCCCAACTCCTCTTTTTCATTTGCATTTTATGCACTATCTTTTCCATCCCTTTACTTTTAATCCCCATGTGTTTTTCAATCTGGAATCTTATATAAGTGGTATATGTAGGGGTCTTGTTTTTTACTCATTCAGTCACTCTATGATTTTCCTGTGGAGCACTTAGCCAATTTCCATTTAAGGTAATTATTGATAGGTATGTCCTTATTGCTATTTTAATTGTTTTCATACTAGATTTATAAGTGGTTGGTTTACTACATTTACTATATGATTGCCTTTACCAGTAAGATTTTTTTCTTAATTCTAGAGTTGGCCTTTCTTTCCTACTTAAAAATTTCCTTTAAAATTTCTTGTAATGTGGGTTTAGTGATGAGAAACTCCTTTAACTTCTGCTTGTTGGAGAAAATATTTATCTCTCTTTCAATTCTGAATAATAACCTTGCTGGGTATTCTTGAAATTTTTCTTTTTCATCATGTTGAATATATCACTTCCTCTGGCCTGCAAAGTTTTTGTTGAAAACTCAGATGACCGTCCTATAGGCATACCCTTGTATGTACCGAGTTGTTTTTTCTATTTTTATTGTATATTTTCATTACCATTTAACCCCCATATACTCCACTTCCCTTGGGCAATCACCATACTGTTATGCTTGCTAGTTCAGTTTGTTCATTAGATTCCACATATAAGTGAAATCATATGGTATTTGTCTTTCTCTAACTGGATTACTCAATTTGCTAATATTTAATGTTCTTCAAATCCATATGTGTTGTAACAAAGGGTAAAATTTTGTCCTTTTAATGACTGAGTAGTATTCCATTGTGTAAATGTGCCATAGTTATTCTACCCACTCATCTACTGATGAACACTAGGGCTGCTTCCATATCTTGGGGATTATAAGTAACACAGTGATGAACATAAAGGTACTTATATTCTTTTTAATTAGTGTTTTGAGTTTCTTCAGATATATTCCCAGCATAGACTGGGGCATCAAAAGGCAGTTTCATTTTAAATTTTTTGAGGTACATCTGTACTGCTTTCCACAGTAGTTGCACCATTTTGCATTCCCACCAACAGTTCAAAAAGGTATTCTTTTATCCACATTCTTGTCAGCACTTGTTGTTAGTTGATTTATTGATGACAGCCATTCTGACAGATGTGAGATAATATTAATTATAGTTTCAATTTGCATTTCTCTGATGATTAGTGGCATTGATCATCTTTTCAGATGCCCACTGTCCATCTCTATGCCCTCCTGGAGAAGAGTCTATTCAAGTCCTATACCCATTTTTTTATAATAAATTTTATTTAGTTACTTTTCAAGTACATTTTTTATCTATTTCTCCCATCCCACACGACACCCTGTCTCCCCCTCCCTCCAATTTCCCCTCCCCCA